GCCTGCAGTACTGCACCCTAACCACTGCGCCACCTCGGCTCTTAGCCCTGGGACTTCAACTCCCAGAATTCCCCAGCTAGCTATGTCAGTTTCAAGTACAAGCGTAATGTGAGAATATGCTGGAATTCTGGGAGTTGGAAGTCCGCAGATCTTAAAAGTGGGCAAGGTTGGATGCCCCTGCTCTAAATCCACTTTTTTTTGTAGTCTTCAACACTTTGGATCACCATCGGTCCTGATTTATTTCGCTATCCAGAGCGATGGTTAGCATGGATATTTTCCTCTACTTCCTTTTTCGGAATAGGAAGTGAACTGAAAGAACTGAAAAGAAACCCTCTAACTTACAACAAGGTTGCTGTGGGAGATGAGCAGGCTGAGGCCGAGGGAGGGAAGGGTCAAACGCGTCATCAGTCTCGAGTCCCTGCGTGCTCACAAGAGCGCAGTCCAGCCAACCTTGAATTCTTACCTGCCGCCAATTTGCCTTGATGGTTAGTAGTTCGGATTCTCGTTGAGAGCGTAAACTTGCAACAAACCTGTATTTATTTGAAATTCCTGCGTTTCTTGATTTCCCGCGCTTGACAGTCACACCTCCGACCCCTCATCCCAAATCCTGGACCACTGCAGGCCCCAACCCCCAATTCAATACGCCTCCCCCAGCCCCCCCCCGATAAAAGATTGCCTTGTGGATCTGATGGAAATTGGTGTCTTTTCAGAAATAACCGAATAAAGAAATCCAAAGAAGGAATTATGGACCAGCTGCAAGAAAAGTGGAAAAGCTGAAACCACGTTGGGAGAATATGGTAAGAGGACGGAACGGATATCTGTGACAAGTGTTGTGCTAATTAAAGATTTACCAGGCCAGTTATATTTAGGATCCCATTTCAAAGGAAGAGGGGCTCGCGCAGAGAAGTCTGATGTCTTACATGCGCATCTTCTCTGAATTTTTCAGACGTTTCCAAGTTTTCCATTTTTTTTAATTACGGGAGGGTCCTTTTATGCAAAAGCTGCGAGATCACAAGATTCTAATAAATTATTATGCCGATAAAGAAGGGGGGAAAAAAAATAAGAACATCTGTTTAGGCTGTGTCCAGTAATTTTGGCCTGCTGCAGAAACGCACGGTGAGAACGAAGAAGCTGTGAATTATTCTCGAGATCTGTTTAGGAACGCTTGAATAATGCAATTTGCTTGGCCAGAAATTATGAATACGTCACATGGGTCCCGCATTTCTCCACCAAGGGCTCTTTTGATGTATGAAAGGAGAATGGGCTGGGAGATAAGAATTGTATCTGTCCATGCATATAAATGTAAAATTAGATAAGACAATTTATCAGGAAAATGGGAATTCGCAAGTTTTTCCTTCCAGTCTCCTACCATCTTTAGTTACTGTCTTCTGTTCAGCCTCCAGAGCCCCAAATGGATGCTCTATTCTAGGACAGGGGTCAGCATCCGGTGGCTCTGGAGCTGCATGTGGTTCTTTCATCCCTCTGCTGCGGCTCCCTGNGGGGCTGGGGGGGGGGGCAAAAACAAGCAAAAAATAGCCCATTTTTCTCTCATTTCTGCCCTCCCCAGCCTCCAGGAGCCCTTTGCAAGCTTCCTAAACACTCTGCAAGTCCATTTTTGTGAAGGGGGCGAGGTTTTGCAAGGCCAAAAATGCTGTATTCGGTGTATAAGACGCACCCAGATTTCCACCCACTTTTTTGGGGGGGGAAAGGTGTGTCTTATACTCCCAAAAAATATGGTACATATCAGAATACAGGGACTCCGCAAGGAAACCCGGCCAACAACACATATAGCCAGAAAAAAAAAGGACTCAACATTTCCTCCCAGTTGTTAAAAACCCTGTAAAAACCAGGGGAACTGGTTGTGGCTTTAGCAGGGAGATGCACAAAATCTGGGAATAAACCAGCTGACTTAAGGCAGGACTAGAACTCCCTCTCTCCCGGTGCTTGGCTCAGTCACCCGTTGCCTTGCATCCTAAAGCAGGATTAGAACTCTCCCTCTGCCAGTTTCTAGCTCCACCACTAAATCAAATCGGTATGGAAAGAATGGGAGAAAGATTTAGAAAATGCGATTTGGTTGAAAGAATCACTGAGTTTCTCCTAGTCTTTTCAGTCAAACGCTTACAATCATCATTTCACGACACCATAATCCCTTGAGGGGTGGAGTTTGGGCAACTGAATGGTTACTGGCTGGATGCCCTTCCTGTCACCAGAACGGAGTTTCGTTTAGCAGATATATTCTCATTATACCCAGAGAGAGAGAGAGAGAGGAATATCTACCTCTACCTAGGATCGAACTCACAAGCCTCCTGATTGTGAGTCGAAAGCTCCGCCTCTAGGCCACTGCACCACTCTACCCAAATCACAACCTTCCAATGTAGTATGAAAAACATCTTCAAAGCGATTCCCGCCTTGTGCCGTTTAAGCCGGTATTTGTCTTATGAGGGGCAGCTGTATCAACTTTTACAGTCTTGTGAATTTACCACTGGGAAATCAAATCCAACACTGTGATAGCTTTAAAAATAATAATAATAATAATAGCAAGAGTTCAAACGGGGGTCCCCAAACAGCCTCGGCTTGCCTGCTTCCGCAAACTGTTCTTCATCCATAGTTTGCCTCTTCGGGTCTTTATAAAAATGGAAGGTCTGAATCTTCACCCCATCGATTTTGGGGAAGAGCAAGGCAAATCCGGCCTCTCCTTCTTCAACCTCCACGGGGCGATGGCAGCCAGAGCCTCTGGGAGTAACTGAAAAGCAAGGTTGAGTGCAGTTAAAGGGTTCATCTCATTTTCAAGACTGCAATCATCGTTTTGAAATGGGCTCTCGTTTTCCACAAGTGGCGTAAAGCTGTTCTGACCGAGTTCCTCTCCTTACCTACAACTCCAGGCGTCACGAGACCAAGCACCTGGCATCGCGCGGGGAGCAGGTTTTCCAAGGCGGCCGCGATTTCTTTACTGTATCTTCGCCGTGCTAGAATTACAACGGAAAAAGACTCGCGTCAAGACTCTTAAGTTCCTGCGAAACAATCCTTTGCCAAAGGATTAAGTCGTGACAGAGCAGGCAGCTCCATTCAAGGGCGTCATTTTGTCTACAGAACCCCAACGGTCCAATCAGAAGGCGGCTTCCTTGCCCCGTGTGTATAAACCAACGGCTCACCGAGGAGGGGAAGAATCTTGCTGGCTACTTACCTTTCTTCATACCGAGGCCACAAATCTCTCCGCTTTCACTGAACGCCTCTGCGTCTGCTATCATATATAGCACTGTCTGGGGAAGGACTTGGACTCTCTGTAACGTAAACGGAAAACGCAACACGATGGACAGAGAGTCACACACCAGGAACTTGTCTTGTATATGAAAAAGAAGCACAACTACAAATACAATAGCAATAGCAGTTAGCAATAGCAGTTAGACTTATATACCGCTTTATAGGGCTTTCAGCCCTCTCTAAGCAGTTTACAGAGTCAGCATATCGTCCCCAACAACAATCCGGGTCCTCATTTTACCCACCTCGGAAGGATGGAAGGTTGAGTCAACCCTGAGCCGGTGAGATTTGAACAGCCGAACTGNTTTTTGGCAGCTGCTGCACACTGCTGGCTCATATTTAAATGGTTGTCCACTAGGACAAAGTTACTACTATTGAGCAAGGTACCACCTATACTGTACCCGTGCATTTCATTTTTCTTGCCTAAATGTAGAACCTTACTTTTATATACAGTAAACTGTTTTACTGATATTTTACCAGTGCTTATTGTGGAACTCCATGATATTAACATGATTTAATATGGTGTTGACAAATGCAGAAGACTGAAATGGAATGTCTCTCAATTTCCACCACTGTTTTGAGAATAGTGGAAACAAATTTACGAATAACATATTTGAAAGAACTAATAAATAATGTTTCCTTCTTGTGTTCTAACCATATTTTGAATGGGTCAGCTTACAAATATAATTATTTCTATCAGATGAACTTGTCAAAAGTGCCCAATTACTACGATTAATGATCTGAAACTGACATTTCATCTGTTTTTGCCTTGCTCTTGCAGAGTTCATTGCACTTGACAACCAACATTTCAATAATCCAGCTGCCAAAGCACTCCCAATAATTTGTCTTCTGATACTATTAGTCCTTGGCACAACACCTGTCACAAGGCTACCATTCTATTTATTTATCTGTGGGTTTATTTATTGCAATGTGTTGTGAAATTCAAGAAAAATGCCAACACCTACACAACTTAAAAAAGTCCATGGGGATTATTATTTTTTTGTATCCCATTAAAAAAAGATTACCATGCAATGTTACCCAAGAAGGACTTTTATTTATGGAAATGTTAACCTGCTTTTCGATTAGAAAACCAAAAAAAAAACCAAAAACAATATAAACCTCAAAGCAGGAACAATTAAGAACAGTTTCTTGTAATTAAAACCAATGTAAACATAAAAATGAATTATTCAATAAAGTTTCCTAGCGTTAATGTGCCTGAAACTATTCATAACTTTAAACCATGGTAAACCATAGGTAATGGTAAAGGTTCCCCCACACATGCGTGCTAGTTGTTCCTGACTCTAGGGGGCAGTGCTCATTTCTGTTTCTAAACCAAAGAGCCAGCACTGTCTGAAGACCTCTTCATGGTCAAGTGGCCAGCATGAATAAATGCCGAAGGTGCACAGAGCGCTGTTACCTTCCCACCAAAGTGATCCCTATTTTTCTACTTCATTTTTTTACATGCTTTCAAACTGCTAGGTTGGCAAAAGCTGGTACAAGTAACAGGAACTCACTCCATTATGCAGCACTAGGGATTCGAACTGCTGAACTCCCAAGCTCTGATTGACAAGCTCAGTGTCTTAGCCACTGAGCCAATGCGTCCCTGGTAAACCATAACATAAGGCCAAATCAGAAAGAAGAGCAGGATTGTTCCTATCAAAAGCACTGATAGATAGATAGATAGATAGATAGATAGATAGATAGATAGATAGATNGCATGCCCAGAGAGAGATGGCTCTGCGTGCCACTTCTGCCATCACTGGGGTAGCAGATAATGTTATGTACTATGCTTAGGTTGGATCGAAGGCGCCATCGTTCTAAGCCTAACATTGCAAGGCTGGTGGCATAAGGGATTTGGTTACGAGCAGAGGAGTGGAGGATTCTTCTCGTGAAATATTTGTTCATTCACTCTCTTCCTTTTTTAAAAAAAATATTTATTTATTTTTTGCTTTGATGTTTTTGCAACCATGCACACTCAGGGTTTTGCATTGCATTGCATTGCATCGAAGACCTCACCTGCTGACCCATTTTTTTGACTTTGCTGCTACCTTCTCTTTTTTTCCCCTCCTCCCTTTCTTTCTCCCCCTCACTCCACTCAACCTCTGCTTTCTCCTCTTTGCTCCGCCCTCGTCGCCCCCTTTTTCAATTTGCACCTTTCTCTTTTAACGGGGGCTTGGCGTGGAAGGAAATCTCCCCCCCCCCACTTGCGCACTTTGCGCAGGGGAAACAGGGCGCTCCTCCTTACGCCCCCAGCGTAAGGGGCTGCTTCCCCGCAGGTGCGGCCCGATTCTGAAGCCAGGTTTGCGTCTTTTGCGTAGGAAAAGGGAAGGCGGGGGCTGGATGGGAACTTGGGAAGGAACCCGCTCCCCGCCGCGTCCTCCCGACCCTCCCCTCACATTGGAGAAAGGGGGGAGAAAGGAAAAAGAAGGGCACGCCGCCTGCGCAGCGCCTCAGAAGGAGAAGGTAAGTGAGAGAGCGGCTGAGGCGGCCCCGCGCTACGCAGGCTGCGTAAGCCGGCCCAGGTAGCCGAGCGACGGGCGAGTTTACGCCGGTAGCGTAAGGCGGCTCCACTGCTCAGGTGCGGGGCAAGGCGAAAGAGAAGGGGGCGGGCTTAGCGTTGCCGCGGCAACCCTGGCTCGGGCCCAGCCAATGGGGGCGCCGGGCGCCGTCACGTGGCCCAGGAGCCCCCTAAGCTTGCTTGCATTGCTTGCTTGGTCGCTGCGGCGCTTTGCAAAGAGTCGGACGGAGCCGGGACGGGGCCGTGGAAGCGGACGGGGACCTTTTCCCGCGGGGAAAGCGGGTAGGACGGGGTGGTGGTGCAAGGCGGGTGAGGGGTCGAAGGGGTTTGGGGAGGTATGCAAGATGGAAGGGGGTGGTGCAATGCGAGGCGAGCGGGGGAAAAGGGACTCGATCCCCCTGGAAGGAGGGAGGGGGACGAAGAGATGCAGCGGGAGGAGGAGGAGGAGGAAGGCCAGCTGTGGCTCTTGCAAAAGGCTTCCCCAGGCTTGCAACCTGGCGCCCTCCAGGGACCCTTCAGAGTTCCCATTCCCATAATCCCCAGCCAGCACCCCCTCCCTCCTCCCTTCCTTCTCCTCCCCCTCCATCTCCTCCTCCCTCCCTTCTTTCTCTCTTATCCTTCCTTCCTCTTCCTTTTCTTCTTCCCCCCATCTGCACCAACCAAGCCGGGCTGCAGCTGGCTTTGAGTGTGAAGGGGCATCTGGAGAGGGGGAGGAGAGGAGACTTTGGGGAGAGGGGACCCCTCCCCCCCCACACCGGTTGGGCAGAGAAGGAAGGCTTTGACTCCCCCTGGTAATGCAACCCCCCCCCCCCTTTATGGGAGAAGATTGCAAGGTGGCAAGAGGAAAGTCCTTCCCCAATGGGGACGGGCATTGGGGGTCTTTGAGGGGTGGGTGGGCAAAGGCTCAGCTTGCCCACCTGGGAAGCAGGTGTGAAAGCAGATGCAGGTGGAGAAGAGAAGGGAGGGAGAGAAGCAGGAGAGAAAGAGCATCCCGCAAGGAAGGGTGTATTGAGGGAAAAGGGGCAGGAGCAGAGGGGCTTGGAAAGACCCCAGAAGAGGTTGGAACTAGGACAAGTCTATTGGGGGGTGGGGGTGGGTGGGCTACCCTCAGAGGGTGCTGGATGTCGTTCCCCCTCCCCCTTTGAGAGAACAGGGGGAAGAGGTGCCTTCCAGCAGTCTGCAAGTGGGGGGGGGAGCAGATTGGAAGTTGGGTTAGGGGCTGCAATGGGATTGGGGGGGGGAGATTGCCCTGGGTTGTGCTTGAGAGATTCAAGGCCTGTTGTATGGGAGAGAACCAGGTTCCTTGCTCTGATACGGAGCCCTTGAGTGGGAGTGGGGGGAGGATTCGCTCTGTGACGAGTCGAGTTGGGTCCAGATTCTCAAGAGCTCCGAATTCATTGCCCCGTTGGAGAGAAAAATTGGGGGACATTCCTGCGCAGCCTTCTGGATTCTTTCCGGAGGGCTTGAAATGCAGCTGTGACGGGGGGAAACCTCCGAAGAAGTTGCTTTGATTTCCATTTATGGGGGTATTAAAACCAGGGTCTTCCTTCCTTCGGGGGGGGGGGCAAACTTTTCTTTCCCAACACAGAAGCCAGCTGGTGGGTCTTTCCACAGCTGCATTAACCCGGTGGGAGGGGGTGGGTGGGAGAGTGGAGAAATCACACACCCCCCCCCCGAGTTCTCCGTCAAATGATATCTCCGTCCATTATATGTTTAATCAGGTTTAAGCCCCATCTCAATCTAAGAGAGAGCTCCCTGTGACGCACGGAGTCCCTTGGCAGGGGACGAATCATATAGTGGCGGGAGGGTCGTTTCGACTCGGGACGGTAACGATAAGCACCTCGCGGTATCGAGATTCGCATGCGCCGGTGGCGGGGATGAAGGCCGCGTTGTAAAGGCTGGGGTGGCCTTGAGGCACGTTGGCAAGGTTAATGGGTCACATGGGGGGAGCGAGGCGTCTGGTTGCAGTGGGTCTGGAGAAGCCCCCACTGAATTTGGGCTTGGTCCCTCGTTTGGTAGGTTACTCAAGGCAGCCGTCGGCAGATGCTCTGTGCGTGATGTCTTGGGGGGAAAAAAGGGAAAGATTCCCTCCCTCGCACATCTGTGTAGTGGTTCCTGACTCTAGGGGGCAACGCTCATCTCCGTTTCAAAGCCGAAGAGCCAGCGCTGTCCGAAGACGTCTCCGTGGTCATGTGGCCGGAGTGATTCAACTCCCGAAGCCGCTCGGAACGCTGTTCCCTTCCCACCAAAGGTGGCTCCTATTTTTCTACTTGCATTTTTGACGTGCTTCCGAACTGCTAGGTTGGCAGAAGTTGGGACAAGTAACAGGAGCTCACTCCATTATGCGGCGCTAGGGATTCGAACTGCCGACCTTTCTGATCGACAAGCTCAGCGTCTTAGCTGCTGAGCCACTACGTCTGTATGCAAATTTTCTCCCTTCCCATTGGTGCACAATGGCATCATCTTGTTGTCTCTTGCCTGGACCTTAAAAAGGAACCCTATGGT